ATCCACTCAAGGCACAACAATTTGACTCTGTTCTCCTGGAACAACAGAGGAAGGAGAGTCAGGAATAGGAGGAGGATCTGAAATGTGTGGCTAATTGCCTCCATGAACAATTGTCTCTTTGCCATGAGGTCAGAAGAACTGGATGGTGCCCAGCTACCACTGTTGAACATTTTGATCAAAGATTCCATAGAAGAATTCTGATTAAAAGCGGAAGAATGTAGAACAGAATGTAAAATTCTCATGACATCCTGGAGCCATGAAGTTTGGATGAACCCCTGAAACTATTGTCCTGTGATAATTTTTAAACCTTAAACCAAAAATGTCCCCTGAAGTCTTCTTAATACCAAACAATAGGTTAGCTTAACTATTAAAAAATGTCTGCCTTGAGCATTATGCTCTTTTAAGAACTGTCTATGTGGGATCAAACTGACAACAGCAACTCAAAAGATTAGATAATAACCTTAGGGGACAGTGAATTTATGTTAATGGAGGAGGAACAACTCAGAAAAGGAGGGTGAGAATGATTGTACAACTTGAAGAATGTAATCAATGTCACTAAATGGTACATGTAGAAACTGTTGAATTGGTATATGTCTTGCTGTGCATATTCTTAACAGTAACAAAATAAATAAAATTATTACAAATATGTTTTTCTTTAATTTTTCATAATACATAAGGCTTAGTAGATAAAATGGATTATCAGAGAGATTCTGATTTTCATTTATTATTATTTGTGTATTAAGTCTGATAGACTACTGCTACAGTAAACAACCCCAAAATTTCAGTAGCTTAAAGCAATCAAAGTTGATTTCTTACTCACGCTGTAGTCCAGTGTGGATGTTCCTGGTTAGTTCTTCTCCAATCAACAACTTGAGAATCCATCTGTGTCCATCTTATAGCTCCATCTTCCTTCATGTCCTGAAAGTCCTCTTTCTTCAGCCAGCTGATAGAGAAAGAAAGTGAAAGATCAGTGCTTGGCAGAGTTTTATGAATTATCACTTCCACTTGCGTTCCGTTGTCCAAACTCAGACACATGGCCAAACTTAACCACAAGGAAGCCTGGGAAATGTCTGACCATGTGCTTAGGAAGCAAAGCCATAATTTTCAAAAGAAGAAAGTGAGATATAACATTGGAGGCCCTACTTCTAAAGTCTATAAAATTAAAAAACTTTACATTCTTAGAAAAATCACTGAAGGCTCTCCAAACCTCAGTGAATTTGGACTGGAAAATTCTTACGGTCCCTTCTAGATCTAATATTCTAAGAAAAGCAATTTACTGCAAGTATAGTCAACCCTAATATTGGGAGCATTTAAGGAATAATTTAATAATAATCTATACTAATTTGGTCACAATTTCTAATTAGGAATGACAGGATTCCCACTGACTGAATCAGTATCACCAGACACATAGCTAAAGACCTACAATTTGCACAAATCTTCCAGCAAAAAGAAAATAATTACATAACCCCATCACCCTGAAATGTTTGAAGTTTATAGTTTCTTCCAGCTTTATTCCGGCCACTTTGAGTGTACTTAAAAATTCACCATGAAGAACCAACCCTTTTGGTTTACAACAGGGTGATGAATTTTCTTTTTTTTGCTGTTTACCCTTTTCCCCTCTGCTTTTATTGCTTTTCCTCTTCTCTTGGTGAAATATCTTACTTGTCCTGTTTCTCCCGTAGTCTCTTTTGCTTTACAGTTATCCTGGGCTGGTTGATTTCAGAGTTAGCAAGTGGCTCTTTTTACTTAGCAAAAGTACAAGAAATCATTATGAGTTACTCTTTGTAGAGGGAATGAGCTGCCCACATATACTCTTTGCTTATGCAACTATATATAAGCTTTAAAACTTGATAAATGAGGGTAACTATAGAAAGTTCTTAGAACCCCTAAATGTATCCACCTAATTTCCAAGCTTCTTTTTCAGTAGCAACAGAGAAAGCATAATAAACAGCAATGCACATTCAACAACAGAACGTGTGAACTGATTGTTTTCCCCGTTCCCTGCACACATTCAGTTCGCCGTTTATCGACATCAGAGGGACTCACACATTCGGAAAGAGGCATTCAATTGCAGAATATTTGTGTTAAAATTAAAAAAAATCATTTGAATTCTACCTCCATTTTTAGTACAACTTAAGCTTTTACAAACTGCAATTCCTTTTCTGGTCTCTTCTATTTCATTTTCAAACCCTAAGAAAAATTTTTAACTGGTGATGAAAAGTAAATTATTTTTTTTAACCTTAATGTCTATAATTACTACAAAATATTCTAGTTTTAAAAAGCCTTCAGTACAATTTTTTCAATTTGTACATAATTAGAACATACTAGACTCTTTATGAAAGTCAAGCCCAACTTTATATCACAAATCATTGCTGTCCCAAAGCAATATCAGATATTTTGGTGTCTAAACCAAAACAGTCACAGATACCTGCTGTTTTAATAAAGTAGAATTTTTTCTAGATTTTTTTAATTAATGAGTTATTCAATAATGCACCAACAATGTTACAAAATATGTATGTATAACATCACTCCATTCCTTTATAAGAGCAATGTGAGACAGGTCCAAAGCCTCAAGATTGTCTATCTCTGGAAGAACAAAAAGCATTATCAGTGCATTTAAACACACAGAATATTTCAGAATCTGGGACAAGGTAATCTGTATTCTCATTTCTACTGCATGTTGTCACATTTCTTCTTGGAGTATAATAACTTCCTTTGAGAAAGCATCTCCATGAAGAACTTAATTCTTATTCATACATATGTGATCTGCTCACTCATTCACTTCCTTAAACTCATCCTACGATGAATAGCAGAAGCCACAAAAGAACACCGTCTCCACTGGTTCTGAGTTGGGGAGAAGGCAGCTTCTCTACTGCATGTACCCTCCCAAGTACAAAGCCCTGTGAAGGTCCGAATACAATGACTTCAGCACAAAGCCAAGAGCACAGATCCTTAAACGAGCAGATCAAGCTGCCACACGAAAACCACACTTCTGCCACTTGCTCTTGGGCGCGCGTCTTACCATTCCTGCTGTAAGATGGCTTGGGAAAGCACACTGCCAGCAGTCACATACTCTGCCAATAGTTGGAAAAGAAAAGGGGTGAAGAGAGTATTTTCTTCTATCCTGGCCTGGCTAGGATACTGCTAATGTCTTTCTGGAAGCAAACTGGAGGCTCAAGTAGTTTCACTAAAATCTTTGGTCCAGAATTAAAAGCAAAACAGCCTCTGCCAAGATAGTCATAGAGACCATTAGAAAAGCTATTTAGATGTTAAGAACCAAGAACTTACAAAAAGAAGTAACGTCAGATCACGACCTTAGTGCTAATTATGACCTTAGATCATGATCTTTAGACCTTGAGGTCTAAAGCGGCTTTCCTGCTCAGCACATGACTCCACAGACATCTAGGGGCTACTACATACATGCTTACTTTAGACAGGCCACCACAGGTTTGGTTCCAGCAGGGACCATGGGTAAGCTCCAAGCTGAAGAAATTATTTCTCTGACTCAGTATAAAGGATCTTTATTTTTGCCACAAGACCAGTAGCTGTTATTTCAATTCTCAATCCACATCTCTAAATCTTAGGCCTGCCACCTGCATTAGCCTTCTTAACCCTCCAAACCTCGCAGGCAGGCCTCAGCATCCAGACCTCACAGTCCATCGCTAACTGCACGGAGTGCTGGCTCTGGGTTTGATCTTACAACTACATTCTTTGTTTTCCTTGCAGTTTCTTGAACCTGAAAAGTACAGTGTTGTGGGCAATGTAAATTCTGTCATTCAGTCAGAAATTTGCCTCACCATTGATTTTTACATAATTCTCTAATGCTAGTCCCAGAGAAAAGAGGGCCTTTGCTTCCAGCAAATTCTTGCAAAGCTGCTGTTTTACCAACAACATGGATGATCACAGAGGCCATTTGAAGTCACTGAGGAAAGGAGTAGAAAATGAACAAGTTCAGTTAGGCTTCTCAGTATAAAATCAATTCCTTATTGCTTTTAATATCAATAGGAAATTTGTTTAGAAAATACTATGCAGTTGATAATATAATTTGTTTGTTAAATGACTTTCTCCTCTGTTGGAAAACACAAATGTATTATTTTTCCTTATTGATTGTTGGCACCCTTAGTTGTCAGGGAGAAATTTTATCCCTATAAATAAATATGAATTTTTTAAATAATATGCTTTTATGCCATTTGCAGAAAAATGAGGTAACTATAGATACTTTCACTTTTTATTCAACATTCAAGTCTCATTAGAAGGAAAAGTTGTAGGAAAAGAATAAGGTCCTTTTAAAACTTCACATAACTTTCTTTTTGGTCTATTACAAGTTGTAATAGCCCTGTTTAAAGCAGGAAGCTCAGGGTGATGGCAGGGCATTATCAAGAATGTTACATGAGCAAAGATAATTCAAAGAAATTCTTAAATAGCTGAATCCATTTTAAATGGCTCTTGTGATCTGGAGGAAAGGGAAGCTTTGCTGAGAGGAAGTTGAGAAAGATTTTTCTTATTGCAAAAGATTTTCCCAGGTATTGGAAGAAGGAAAAAAATGTAGTTTGTCTAGTTTGCCACGTTATTTATAGAAAATACTTATATCCAGATAATACAATGAAGTTTTTTAAAGAAAATTTTCTAGGTACAAATTACTCATCAATGCCTGTTCATGAGTAAGTTAATTATAATGTTAGACATAAGAATTTGATTTCTAAAATCAAGTAAAATATGACATCTTAGAAAATAGAATTTTTATTTTTATCTTAAAGCAAGCTCAGTTTGGAGAAGCCTGTTTACATATTTTCTTCATTTAATTGGTTTTCTTAATATGAAATAATATTTCCAGAACTAATTAAAATTTCTTTCTAATGAATATTCAAGACCAAAATATGTTATCTTTGCTGTACAGTATATAAATTTTTAAATCATCCATAAAGGTAATTATATTTTATACATTCTTAAAAAGCCATATATTGTTTTTGATGCCAAATGGGTTATTTCCTTCCTCTCAGGCAATGATTGAAGAAGCTATCACCAGAGCTGAATCCTTCTCAGTGATGTACACACCATTTGCAACAAAAATAAGAGCTGATAAAATAGAAAAAGTAAAAGAGGTTTTCTCAAAAACTCACCCTGCATATGTGGATTATATCTACACAGGTGAGAATCAATACCCTCATACCATCAGCCGATACTTTATTTCCATTAAAACAAATACAAGGTCTTTCTGGTTTGTTTAATGTTTCTTTTTATGTATGTTGTCTTAATTTGACGAATTGAAATGGAAAGTTATTTTAAAGTTTTAACTAGTGCTAACTCTGTATGGCTAGCATAATATTCCTTGTGACTTGATGTTTCTATATTCTAAGAGGTGAGGGTCAAACCAAAAAAATCTAAGGTTTAAAAAATGGAAGAAATGGTGTCTCAGTTATCTAGTGCTGCTATAACAGAAATACCCACAAGTTGATGGTTCTAACAAACAGAAATTTATTTTCTCAGTTTAGGAGGATAAAAGTCTGAATTCAAAGTGCCAGCTCTAGTAGAATTCTTTCTCTGTCAGTTCTGGGGGAAGATCCTTGTCTCCAAAGATCTTCAGCTTCTGCTTCCTGGTTCCTTGGAGATGTGTCTTGGCTTCTATCTTACTCCATCTCTCCTCTGCTCCCTTATGTAATCTCTTTTATATCTCAAAAGAAATTGATTCAAGATACACCCTACGCTGATTCTGCCTCATTAACATAACAAAGACAACCCATCCCCAAATGCGATTATAACCACAGACATAGAGGTTAGGATTTACAACACATATTTTGGGGGGACATAATTCAATCTACAATAAATGGATTGTGGTAAATTGCCATCTTTCCCCATACCCATCATCAGTCAAATAGGTGATTATAGTAGTCTCTTAAAGATGGACTTTTTTTTCCAGTGCCTGCTATTTCTGCTTTCCTTCTTGTGGTGCAGTGGTTAAGTGCTCAGCTGCTAACTGAAAGGTTGGTGGTTCGGACTCACCAGCCACTCCTCGGGAAAAAGATGTAGTAGTCTGCTTCCATAAAGATTATAGCCTTGGAAACTCTATAGAGCAGTTCTACTCTGACCTATAAGGTCACTATGAGTTGGAATCAACTCAACGGCAATGGATTTGGTTTTGTTTTGGTTTTGTTTTTTCTACTGTCGATTTCAAATCTCAAGCCTCCTTCTTTTCTTATGCTCTTGGATCGCTGGTATCCAAATGAGATCTGGATAATCAAGGGTACTGTAGAGGATACAATGCTGGTATTATACTTTCTTCCTCTTTTTGTCTTTGAAAACCACTTGATTTTATGGATTCATTCAAAATTATTTTTTGTATCTACTATGTGCCAAGTTCTATTGCACTAGGAGGAGGATTTTATGATGCCAAATTAAGAGCCACTCAACAATGACTACCAAGTTCAGAAAAATACCTAAATACAAACTCCTAATAGCACATCCTCCTTTTAGGGTCCCCTCCTTCCTTTTCTCAGGGCTTAGGGGCCAGGTCACTGATTTATATGATTAATAATGTATACCATTATCAATCACTTATAAGGTACCAGGCACTCTACATCCATTGTATCTTGAAATTCCAATAACTTATGAGGTAAGTAAAATGATTCCTATTTAGAGACAAGAAAACACAAACTGGAGAAAACATACAGCTTTTCCAAAGATGCACAGCAAATCAGTAGTGGCAGGGCTGGGATTTGAATCCACGTTCTTACCATTGAACTATATTACTTCCATATGATAGGAGCAGAGATGTTATAGAAGCATTAAATTTAGGTCCTGTAGATTCCTTGTTTTTCTGTACAGTGCTTCAAGCACTTCAGAGAAAAGGTACTGAATAAATCTAACTAGTGATGATGGCATAGTAAATCCCTAAGGGACAATGGGAATTTAGGGGAGAAAAATGGAAGAGAAGAAAGCTAATGTGTGCCGTAACAACCATTGATGCACATTTACCTAGTCTGAACATTCTATTAGGAAGTAGGTAAAAATAGCTCAGAACTCACATTTATTGCTAGTGGTTTATTCATTATTCATTATTTCTCTATGGATATTGAGGGGGTTTTAGGTTTGTTTTTTTTGGTTTTTTGGGTTTTTTTTTGGTGGAAGGAGACATGAAAGTCAAGCCTGTCTAATGTCATGGCAAAATGAGTCAAATTCAGCTAGTTCTATTTCTACTCTCAGACCCATTGGTAGTATAGAGAGATTCATTGGGGAGATCACCAGTTTGCCAATTCCTCTACTGGTAGAATAAATTTGGTTATATTTAACCTACTTCATAAGAAAATCATGAAGATTAATTAATACTTAGGAAGCACTATTTTCACTGAGAGTTTAAAAAACAATAATAACATTAATAAGTTAGATTCATGTCTCATGTAACTCCATCAAACCTTTTATCAAGATGAATTATGATCTGTTGGCAAGACGTTTCATGCTAAAGGATCTTATACTTCAGGAGGGAAGATAATTGTAAGTTACTAATGATTGTTTCTATTATTCTATAATTACTAATTGCTGGAGAATGACAGTGCTATATGAGAACCTAGAGAGGAAAGACACAGCTTCAGGAGAGGGGAGGGAAGGTAGAGAAGGCAGTCCGGAATTTTAAATTGCATTGGAACTAGTAAGATTCTTTGCTCTGTGAAACCGTGTGCTAAAACCCTATTGCACTGATGACATTATTTGCGTCTATTGGAAAGGACTAACGGGTCTTCCCCAAAGCCATTGCTAGGATGATGGAGAAACCACTATTACTAGCTATATATGCACAGTCTTAGACATATGGCTTCTTTTTCTTAGCCAATTTCAAGGTGTGTAGTACACATGCATAGGAAGAGGGAAAGTCAAGTGTTATCTTTAACATTTGCACACATCTCCCAGGAAGTGCTAAGCAAAGATTAAAACAGGCATTAGTAGTGAGAGATAGTAGCTAGAAGGTATTAAGGATTGAATTGTTTCCCCCCAAAAAAAATATGTGTTGAAATCCTAACTCTTCTACTTCTATATATGACCCTGTCTAGAAATAGTTTTTTTTTAAATTATGTGAATGAGGTCATATTAGAGTAGGCTGGGTCCTAAACCTAATCACTTTTGAGTTATAAAGAGAGCAGAATAGACACAGAGACACATACAGTGGGAAGGCACATGCCAAGGAACACCATCGAACACGAAGGAATGCCAAGGAACTCCCAGGGCAACTGACAAGAAGGACCTCACCTTAGAGCCAAGCCCTGAATTCAGATTGTTAGTCTATAGAACTATTAGAAAATAAATTTCTGTTCTTTAAAGTCACCCTCTTATGTTAATTCTGTTACGGCAGCACTATGTAATTAAGACAGGCAGTTACAGACAAAGAGAGAGATGTGGCCTAGAAGAGTAGCTACCTTTTTTGTTGGTGTTGTCCAAAACCAAGATTCTCCTTTTATCAGTCTTTTAAATAAAATTTAATAAGCTTTGCAGCATGTATGACTGAACAGTAATAGTCATGTGTGCAAACATGAGTCTCGCTATGTTTTTTTTTTTTTTTTTACCTAACCACGTTCTGCTTTGCTTTGCCCAGGGCCAACAGTATATTCTGTTCTATTGCAGAGAACTCAGTACAATCTGATCACTTCTAAAATTTAGTTTCTCTTTAGTAAGTAATCAAATTTAACAGCTTCCTTACTCTTCTTATGGGTTTTTCTTCTGTTCCTGATCTGGATTCAACTTTCTCAGAGCTCAAGTGTACTCAGTGTCCAAGGCAACAGTGGGCATGTGAAGGAGGAGCCCTCTTCCCAAGTCTGGTGTAGGCCAGTACAGCTGTGATGTCATGGCTAGTATAACTTGAGATGGGCCCTCTTGACATGGACAGGACCTAATACGTGTAGGGCACATGTGGCATACACATTTATGTGGCACATTAGGTGGCCCGAGGGCACCTAGATGGGTTCCCCATGCTGCCTCTTGGTGTGGGTTCTCCTTCAGAAGTATAACAACCACTCCCACCTCACAAGTTGGTCCAACCAAGAGTCACTCTTTGAAGTTCTTTCTCCCCACTGGAAAGCTGGCTATGACTCCACAGCCATCTCTAGTTCTTTCTCTAAAAGTCCCCTCAACTCCACAGAAGACTGGAAGTAGCCCTAGTCTACTCTCCAACTTGCTAAGTTACTCTGCCATTTTCTTTTCCCTCGCTCTATGTTTCAGCATCCCAGAATCATCAGGACAAGAAGAGGACTCACAGTGGAGATGCATACTTTGCTGACTTATTTATTTATCAGCAGGCATTTATTGACAGTTTATATCCCAGACATTATTCTAGAATCTAAGAATACAGAAATGAATGAGACAGACAAGTTCCCTGCCCTCAATGGTATTCAGATTCTCGTGGGAGGAAAGCAGACAGATGCATAAACAAATGAATATATAAGGTAGTTTCAGTTATCAATTTCAGTTATCAATACCCTACTAAAAAAACAGAGCAATAAAAAGAGTAAGTAACTGGAAGACAGGGTAGAACAACTTTAAATAAGCTGAGGGTGTGACATTTGATCTGAGCTATAAATCAAGAAATGACATAGTCATTACTTTCCCAGAAGTAGAAATATGCAGAAGGAAAAAACTGTTACACAGTTAATTATGTCAATTTTTCTGTTAAAAAAAAAATTAAAAGATGCTATGAGAGGCTCTAATATAGGCTCTAATATGATGGGCAGGGTCATGAAAAGCTTTTGTGAGGAAGTGACTCAAACTACATCTGGAAAGATGAGTAAGAGTTAATGCAGAAAATGGCAAAAGAGGATAGAGACTAGGAATAGATTTTCTGGCAGAAGAAACAGCTACAAACCACAATCTGTCTGTATGCACCAATATAAACCAGAGCAAGGGCCCAGCAAATTTATCAAATAGCTTTCCATCTATCTCTGGACACCTCCTCCTCCCACTTCGTATGCCGCTACCCTTCTACCCCCTCCTCTTCCACAAAAATCTGTTCCTAAGAAAGGATCTGACTGTAGTCATTAACACTTTAGGGTGAATATTGGACTATAATTTTTCCTCTCTCCTAACGAATATTTTCAATGAAGATCTAAGGTCTAATTGTAAAATGGGAAGCTGACTCTTATTAAAAGAATGATGGAGGCAAAAGCAGATGG